CTACCTGGACTCCCGCCCCGCGCCCCCCGCCTGACCCCACGCTTGCCGGTGAGATAAGCACGTGCCTTTGTTCCGGCCCAGCTGGGTAAACCGGGCGCCTGCGGGCCCGGTGGGCAGTGGGTGGGGACCCTTTGTCCCGCCAGGGCCTAGACAATGGTGGGGGAGGCCGTGCGGTGCTTGGTGTGCGGACCCGGCGGTGACCCCAGGCTCCGTCCCCACCAGGGTCCCCTGTGCCGGAGCACCTGGTACCCCGAGGTGATTTACGAAGTGAAAGTGTCACACGAGGCCACCAGCTGGAGGCCCGGCCGGCTCTGCGCTTTTTATTAGGTGTCCTATTATGGAAAATAAACTCTAATCCGACCATAAAACCCAAATCTAAAAAACATTCGCCCTTGTAGTCGGGAGTGCTCTCGGGCGGTCACACCTCCCAGGGATTAGTTTTATGGAGGGTGACTCTGGGCTCCGCGGGAACTTTGACACCCGCACCCACCCCCGCCCACACCCAGGGGTCCGGGGCTCCCCACGCCGCGCCCGGAGCCGCGCCCCAGGGGGACACCTGGGGAACACCTAGGGGAGCGCGTGGTGTCCTGCTGCAGGTCCTAGGCCGGCTTCCAGAACAGGGAGGGAGGGATAGAGGAAGGGAGGGAGGGAAAAGCAGAGAAAGAAGAAAGGGAAAAACGCTGTAGGGCCTGGGGGTGTAGCTAGCATGCAGAAGGGGAGAAAGGGGGAGAGGGGAGAAGGGAGAGGAGAGGAAAAAGAAGAGGGGAGCAGAAGGGAGAGGAATGAAGAAGAAAAGAAAGGGAAAAAAGACCATCTTCAGAGTGCAAGCATCTGCACACTGCACTGAGGCAACAGATGCCTGGACTTCTCTGTCTCCCCAGATCGTAGACTGCCCCCCATAACCTGCAGCCCTAAGTCCCTTTCTCACTAGCCCTTTACACCCCCTTCTTTCTAAGGGTTCAGCTCTGGTGACAAAATGGTACCTCATGGAACGGGTGCCCTGCAGACTGCCTTTGGTGGCTGGTCTGGTTTACTTAGCAGGATCAGGTCCCTCCATGCCACAGCATGTGGCAGGAGTGGCAGGATTGCCCTTGGCGGG